TATAAACGGGGTTGAATCCTCTACCTCCTACATTCGAAGCATTATTAAGTTGAATAATATATATATATATATGAGAATGGTAAATGTTTTTAATAGAAAAATCCTTTAAATAATGCTATTGTTACGTCTCCGTTTGTTAATTAACTTTCCGTAACTTCGTTCCGACGAAACTTTAGCGACACAAGTCCTTACTTAATAAAACTGGTTTATTCTTTCCGAATACAACTTTACGATACACTTATTTTCAACAATCGCTCTATAACAAACGCTATAACGAACGAACGTTAACTTCAACAATACCCTGTGACTGCAGTACAATTACTCACTATCTACACACACATTCATTTTCCCGTCACGTTGTCACCCTCTTTTATATACCAGACTATCCTATATCTAGTAAATGCTAGAGCATTCGCCAAAGTACAGGATAGTTCTAGAAAGTTAGAGGGCGTAAGAATAGTCACGTGATCTCGATGACGCAACACTATTGTTATATTATGTAGTCGGCCATAAATGAAGCAAAAACCTACTGAGCGGAATATTGAATTGTATTTAGATTCATATCAAACTAGTTATAACAAAGGATAGAAAATTGTTCTTCTCTTTTGTTAACATAATAAATATTAAAAGTGCGATAAAAATCTGAAAAGAAAGACTTATTATTTTCAAGGATTCGAACAATAATGGTTACATCGTTCATTCTAATGCTGAGGAATATACAACATTGGTAGTTTTTCCGAAATTAAATATGAGATTAGATAGATGGTCTAGCTCCCAACGTCAAGACCTTCCTCGTGTTATCCTGTGTCACTGGTCAAGTTTGGTGCTGATTGATCAAAAAATGTGAAACGAATAACAAACAAATACATACGCACACACACGTGCGGAGTTTATTTATATAGATATGTGTATAAAACATGGAATGACTATAAACGAATATATCTCCATACACAACATTATATAGCGGGTAAACTCGTGCTTCGCGTAACAAACTTATTTGAACTTTAGATATATTTGTCGTATTCTTAGGCAACTGTTGGAATTTGATATTGCGTTATTTATAAGCCACGGAAAGGTAAAGAATTGACTTAATGTGTTTCCTTGCGTGTTTGTTTATTATGTTATTGAAATAAATGTCTCTAAATTTAATGTTATAAACGTTGTACTTTTGCAATCGTATAGAACAATGCAAGTTAAACGTCCTTTACTCTTGCACTCATATAAACGTAAAAATACCATTGTAAAATTATCCAGTAGGAATATTTGGTTTCCATGTGAGCTAGTACACATACATGCACGAACAGATTGACACAAATTTTTCTTTTAATTACATAGATGATGTGGAAATGCTATATAAACTACAGATGATATACCAATTTCTATTTTTATGACTCGGATATGCCAGTTGGTTATATAATCTTAACTGATAAGTGAGTGTTAATTATATACGTAGTCTGATCGTTCAGTAAGTATGTTTGTTCTTAAGCACAAAGGTACTACTACGTATCTTCTTGTTTGTTAATTTTCCGTAGAAATTCTTTCTGAGAAACTTCAGTGATACAAGTCTTTTCTTGATTAACCCCTGTTTATTCTTCCTCGATACAAACTTTTAATACACAGTAATTTCACAATCAGTTTAAACTTAACAACTTTTATAACACAGCTATAAATCACAGCGATTCACAAGCTCGACAACTTCGCTCTATGCAACTGCAAAACACACAATTTACGGTTCACGTAGCTACTGTTCGCTTGACTCAATTATCTATATCTTCAATCCCGCTGGTTTTTCTTGCCAGGCTTATATACTAAAAACAGAGCGACTCGAATGCACTCGGGTCTTCGTGATCATTCGAGAAATTTCACGCATGCTACCAGCGCCAAACGCACCAGCAGCGTCACGTGACTTCTGCTGTCGTAACAGTACACAATGGGCTATCTGTACTGCTCACCACGATTACAGAAACCCGGTTTCCAGTGTTATAAATCTGGAGACTTATTGCTGTGCCACTGGGGGGGGGGGGGCGATCAATTAGTAATACTGTAAATATGCTGAAATGTCAACGTACGCTATTAACGGTAAGGTTATGAAGTTACGTGTATAGGGCCATACCTTCGTTTACAGTTAATACGAAAAAGGCTGAACGTAATCCAATCGTTCAGTAGGTTGAGTATAAATCTACAAAATTTCCACCACATAACACGATCTACCATGGAACGAAGCAAATAAAGTTTGCTTGATTTTATCTCAAACTACACAAGAATTATCCATGCTAGCCTAATTTTGAAATGATAGACTAAAGAGAAGGCAGCTATTAAACACCATTTACCAGGGTCGTAGCCAGGCTTGTCACACCGAATAGTGGAACCGTTACTCCTCTTAAGCCCCACAGCCCCAAACTGTGAAGTGCAACATTTATATCTTAATCTTTTGGGGACAGTAATTGTAGCGAACCACGGGACCTTAGCTCTACAATCCCTCATGCTAACAACTCGTTGAAACTTTAAAACAATGATCAAATGACAAATATTTTATCGATAGTCTCATTTTTCTTTGCTTCGCTTATTTAAACATTTTCTTTATAGTATGATAAATCACAAATTATTTTTCAAATATAGTTTCATAAATAGGATATAAAAAACAGCTGTAGACTAAATATCTTGTTTTAAAAAGCCAAAACTCAATCCATTTCGAATAGTTGGCTTTTCTTCTTTATTCTATTGAAGAAGAATGGTCAACTAATCGAAAGTGCTCGAGTTTTAAGACTTTTTTTTTAATTCATTGCACCTTTTATATTTGATCCTGTGTACTACATCTTATCAAAATTAATTTGTTTTAAATATTTTCATGATGTTAGAAAAACATGTAGATTTAAAACAGGGACTTAGCTAGAGTGAAAAACAATGTGGGTTGCCACTAGTATTTAGTTCCAAAAGTGTTTGTGACAAGTGTTTTAGGGATGGAAAAATGATTTTAGTATATAGTAGGATTATGATTTTACTTTGTATATGACTTGCTTATCGTTTTTGCATTGTTTCCAATTAAGCTCACATTAATACTGCTTTATATATATATATATATATATATTTACCACCTAAGTTGGCTAGTTTGTTTGATTTAGTATTAGTTAAAAGAAAATTAATAAATAATTTGAAGACATGTATGGGTGTTGAACAAATTATTTCATGACATTCACTTTGTAATAGTAATTACCAAATTGTTGAATATAAAGTGCAAACGTTTGTAAGAATTTCAAACGGCAAAATTTGATTCAGGCAAAGCTATAATAAGGTCTGTATCAGTTTGTAACAAGCATAGATATATTTTTCCCTTTTTAATAGAAAGTGATAAAAATGACTCGTCCATATAACATACTTTTGAATAATGCGTAAGTGAATGGTTTTCTTCATCGTCAACTTAGCAGCCATCTACCAGCACATATGCATGATTTTTTTTTTTGTATTTTTTTGTACTTTGCCAAA